ACGTTTTCCAGTTACATATTTCAATATGTTGTATTAGTTACGTGTACTTGCATGTTTGACATCAAAGTGCGCGAAATATATATATATACACAAAGACGTTAATTTAATCGCGAAATTATAGTTTTGTAAATTTCGGCTAAATAAGTTTAATCTTTTTTTTTTCTCAGACAAAGGATTTCGCACAGGATTTTTCTTTCTCACTAACATTACGCTGTTTTATTTACGTATTTTACTATTTTTGTTTATATTTTAGTAAAAAATTAAGAAACAACTATTTACACATTTGATACCTTTGCGAAAGTTTGGAATACCACCTGAACCATTAAACCAAAGCAATAATAATAACGTACTACTGACGCCTATGAGTTTCCAGGAGTATTAACTTCATCCAAGTACGAAGGGTACTTAATAAAAACTCGCATTTTATTCCCTCAGGGTCAAAATTTAAGGTTGCAGCCAACAAATCTTAACCAACCGCGTTGGAGATAATTTTTTAACACAATCTCTACTAAACACGCCTCATTTCATCCAGTTTTTCTTGCTTAATCATAACAGATCGATAGATGGTTTTGAGCCAATTGCATAGAGTTACTACTAGAAATATCACTTCAACAGACCAAAAGATGGGTTATCACTATATAATATTTTTCTCAAAATCTTCATTAATTACTTGCTTGCAGCAAGATATTCAAATCCAATGTTATTCATATTTGCCGCATAGAAGTATTTTCTACGACACTTAAAGTGGAAACACACATTATGTAATGCCGCTACCAGAGGATGATTAATACGATCATTTGTTGACTGAAGTTTGTTCGTATGTATATAATAATAATAATGATTAAATATTAATGTTTGTTTTGAGAACCTCTCCTATATTTAATACAAAGCTTACTAGACGTTTTTTGAGAGCGACAGTCAGACTGGATTAAATATAACACTCTTTTGGACTGTTGGGTCTTGCTTCGTGCATGTAAACGTCATAGGATAACGGTTACAAGTACTACTAAGAATTAATTAATTATTTACGTTTTCGAGATGTCAGAAATCTCAAATGTTCACGGTTATTCAACAATCTCACCTATTTAACGTTATCTACAATGAAACATCTAGCATAGCCATGAACAAGTAAAACGATTTAAATTCTAGTTCCACAGTGACGCGATATATCCGAGACTTACATTCTGCCTTCTTAAGAGTAATAACAACAAATAAAATATTCTAGCTATTGGACTGTAATGCGCTTATTTAATTTCGTTAATGCACTCTTTTAAATATTTTTCATTAACAGAATACCTTCTGACGGTGTTAAGCAAGATTGCGATGAATAGATTCAGCATACAATTAGGCTAAAACACTTATAAGAAGAAATGTTTCTTGCTCTAGACTTTTTTTCTGTTTACACAACTAAAAAGATACAGTTTAATTTTAAGTTATGTTTCAGAGTTTAAAGTCTTAATCTACTGGTATATATGGATGATGACTCTACGGTGGGCAATAAGCATTAGAAGCCACTTGACATATACATGCAGGAAGATACTTATAAAGGCACACAAATTTCGTGGATTTGATATGTTTTTTCTATGAAGTGACGTTTATGAGTAAGGCCTCTCGCTCTGTTCTACTAAAGTAAAGAACAAAGTGAGGATCACTATCAACTCAGATGGACCCCTCCGCGAGCGATAAAATCTCATGGATTTCCAACAGAGGGTAGGAACAAAAGCAGTAACATCTGCCGCTTGAAAATAGAAAGATAAATTATTTAGTTAGACATATGAAACTACACAGAGACCACCTATATACCTATCGCTTAAAAACAACAAAAACACAGGGAGTTAAGATAAAAGAGGGATTTTCAGCAACGAAACATTACTCACTTTGTCATAAAAATGACAAACGCTACAACTGAGCACGGATTATATCATATCTGATACACCTAACAAATCTCTCAAAAAATGTATTTCCACCAACTATTAATCTATCATTTTTTAAACTTTTTATACGGTATAAGCATAATACATATAATATAAACTACATCTAAACAGAACTGTAAAGGGGCTAGCATAGAGAAACATTAAAAGTAATGAATACACAGCGTGACTGATTGGTTTTATGTCACTGTTTACGTTAATTCTAATATTACTTGACAAAATTAATAGAATGATACCTCTTTATGTGTAGTCATAATACTCAACATTTGAGTGGTCTTCACTCAAAATGCCACAGCACTACTTTTTCAAATGTAGACTGCTTCTGTTGGAGTGAAAAAAAAATTGTATTTTCTTTTTTTTTTTAATTAACGTTAGTATGCCTCAAAAATAGCTAAACTACTTGACAAGTTTGACTACAATTCGTAGACGAACACCAAGTAAATTGAATTAGCAGGCAGTGCAAGTGATTTAAATGATATAGCAATATGCTTAGTTTAAATATAAGCTCCGGTAAGAGAATAGGATTATTAAAGCAGAATTGTTTAGACCTCAAATCTAAATATTGAGTGAGGAGAGACAGTGGCTTGAATAACACAACATCAAAGCTACAAATCTCCAATCGGTCACCTATTTTCATTACTATATGCCAATCTAGTATTAATGCAGTACTGCTGTTACTATGGTTGTTAAATTGCTCCTCGATACCAAGTGAATTTATCGTGTATTTGTTGTTATATATATAATTCGAATTCAAGTAATTTCAGGATTATACGTTAATTTTCACATCAATGAATTATGTCAGTAGGAACTCAAGTAAAACATAATTAACCGAGAAATTAATTGGTTATGAGGTCGGAGTTCAAACAAAAGATGGAAAGATATCGTTGAGACTACAGGACTCATTTAACGCCCTCTATATGTGAATATAAATCGTTTGTTTATTAGTTGGCAGACATAATGACAATTTTAGTGTGTGAAAAGAAACATTACCCTCGAGTTAGTATGTTACAATTATAAACAACTGCATCCAATCTGAGAAAAAAGAAATGGAAGAGCAAAATTGTGAATAATTAAAAACAGGAGGATGAATTAGTTTAAGGAAACAGATTTTTAATCAATATTTTCAATGTAGAAAGTTATCACTATTTCTTATTGACGGTGTTGGTAAAACTGAAAATTGGATGGCTGAGTTCAGAAATTAACATACTACTAGAAGCATATTACTGAATATCACAGGTTGAAGAAGTCGAAGTAATCTAGAAACCCTCTATGCATTTTTCGGGTATGCAACACTTGGTTATGTGTTAAATAAATAACTTTATCAGGTAAGCAAATATTATGCAGTGTGTGTTATTGGAAAAATATCTACTTTGATCTTTAAATTAGTTATTTAAAATATTCTATTTATAGTGTACAGTTTTTGAAAAACAAGGAACCATATTAGAGCATGAGGTGTTGTTTAAAGAGTTTGTTGAATATCTTAACACACAGAGATATTAAAACATCTAAACATCAGGTTATTGGGAAACCAGAAAGCGTAACTAATACAGAAAAATCCAGTCCTAAGAGACACGAGCCCCAGTAGCGAACACAAACAGCTGGAGGACGTCACACGATGGAAAATCTGGTTTCTGAAACTATTGTCTTTTTCTATCTAGAGAATAGTGAGACTTTGGCTAATAGATAGTGAAAATGTCTGATAATAGCCATGCACACCAGACATAAACAGCATATTGCCTTATAATACAAATATTAGTTAAATAGTTATATCAAATATTTTTTAGCACACGTCAAACTCTAAGTAATTAAAGACCTTACAAACTACTGTAAATTACCAATAACAAACTGTCTTCACAAAATTGTATATAAGTTAATTACTTTATTTTGGTAAGAAAGTTCTACTTTGCTTATATTCAAAATTTTTTCATACTGGTTAAGAAACATGAAGACCGAGCATCATTTAATTATTTAAACAATATATTGGTGACAATATACTACAACATTGCCAAATTAAGATATAATAATACTAATTTAAAAAAACTTTGACTAAGCATTAATGTCAATGTTCTAAGGGTTCATTTAAGACTTTCTTCTTCTTCCAAATATTTTTCAATCGACCATTTCTCGGCGGATTGACTTGAAACTCGGTAGGATTATACCTTAGATATTTTTGGGTTTTTATTTGGTTTATAACGGTTCTGTTATACAGATCCAATAGATGCAAAAATGGGGGATATGCCTATTTTTGATCATTCTAGAAAGGTCAAAAAGTTAAACTCTAAGGGTCTTGGTCAATTAATTAGCCATATTTCGACCAATTTACGTGGGATTTTGTACAAAGATACTCTCTTCGAATCCCAAACGGAGATTTAGACAATTTTGAACTTTGTCTTTTGCTCATTTTTCTAGCCGGAAAGCATTTATTTTGTATTTTCGTGAACTATTCATGTGTATGTCAACCAACTTACATGGGATTTGGTACAAAGATACTTTCTTACATGTCCCAAGCAGTGATATAGATAATTGTCGATTTATCTGGGTTTCACGTTTTTTTGGTGTCAAAATTAGCCATGTTGGGATTACATGGTGGAGACATGCTGCACTTGCCCGCGAATGCTGGCCTCTAATTTTGTCTTAATTTCGTACAAAGCTATTCGAAAGCTATCTTCGTTAGCCGTCCATACATTGGAAGAAGTAATAGACTAGAAGGAAGGCAGCTAGTAAAAAAAGTGGGATTTACTGCCATATTATAACACCCGCATGGCTGAAATGGCGAGCATCTTTAGTAACGGGATTCAAACCCCAGCTTGCGAGTCGAGCGTTCTAACTACCATGTCATGTTGACATTAAACAGTTAAATTTTATATATTATATTACATATAGTACTATATTAGTATTGTTTATTACATAACAGTAATTATGTTTATTGTCAATATATTTCCTTGTATTTTAGAAATTTTTGTGATAGCAGACAATATTTGATTTTTTCCCTTATTTACTTTTCCACTGAATAGTAACTATTAGGTAGTCATTACAGACATTTATTAGGATATTTCTTATTTGTTTCAGTTGCCATCTTCGATTCCTCTTCTGCGTGATGACCATCAAGTTCCGTCAAAGTTGACACTAGAAATGGCTGAACGTCATCCAGAGAATAAACAGGATAAAGAAGACAAACAAATCTACAAACCTTTGGGACAAAACGGGATGAAGCCTTCTGCGGAATCTTCTGGTTATTCGGAAGTAAGCAACACTGGTGTTTAAGATAGTCAGCTCACGAGTGTTTTACGTGCCTTCTATTTAGAGGAGAAGCTGTGATTGTGTGATCTTCGTTCAGTTTTCGAGCGAACTTTGACTGAGGGGGCCATCTTTGTACAGTTAAGCTGTGTGCAGCCAAAGCTGAACGGTAGCTTATGGACTATTTTTGACGTGCCATAATTTATGTAACTGTCATTCCAGTTAAAAGGTGTGTTTTCTCGCAGAGACTGAAGAGTGTCAATTTATCAAAGTAGATATATTCGATAGGTCTATGTATAGATGGTATACGACGTCACTCTATTCGTCAGATTTCTATATATGTTGTAAAGTAATATCTTATGGCTCTACACACATTCTGGACTTCAATGGGAGTGAATACTGACGATGATATTGTATAACTAATCGAGCACAATAAATTTTACCACATAATAAATTTAATAAGATGAAAGTTCAGTTCAATTATTCATACCGATTAGAATTTGGATAGAAAAGATAGAAATGAATAAAAACCCTATAACCCGAGCGCTTTCAAAAGGTGGACGTTTCTTCTTCAGTTTGCCCCTGAAGAAGAAAGGTCCATCTTTCAAAAGAGCTCGGGTTATAGGGTTTTTATTCATTATTATCAAGACTTCTTGAACCTACGTGTTTGTCTAACATTATGACAGATGGAAAAGATTTATCCAGTAGTTACCTTGCAACAGTGAAAATCATATCAAGACGTGACATTGTTTGAGACAAGTAATAATTGCTCTCTGATTACAAAGTGATTGAAGTTGTATCAACTGGAGAAACTGTGTGTTTAGGATTATGTAATCAGCATTTCTGAAAAAACAAGAAAGTTAAGGAAGAATTTTACTTAGTTTTCTGGTGATTTTCGTACACACTCCACCTCAGGGTTAAGATGATTCAATATTGTGTAAATTAATTACTAATATTAGCACTGCAAAGGGCATTTTTAATCTTACATAATTAAAACCATTTACGATATACTAAGTTATTTTGACATGACTATGAAAAAAAATATATATCGTGTATAAATAAAATGTCATTGTTTTGTTTTAACCTAAAACATATAATTATTATATATTTCGGAAGTTTTTGATTTTTGACCGAATAATTAAACATATATTGTGTATTAATTTTAGTAGCGAAAAGAGAGCGATACCCAGTGAAAATGATCACTTAAATGGTTGTATTATATGTATCTAGCAAAATCTAAAATCAACAAAAACTTAAATGTTTTATGTTTTATTATTATTGTAATAGTATTGATTTGATTTGATTTTATGAATATTCATCTACTGCAATCAAGCATTCAGTAAAACTGCATAAAAGTGTTTTACTTGCGTATGGTACTCTCTAACATTTTATTCTTCAAGCTTTGGAAATAAAACTACTTGTCTTCAAGTAAAAAAAAAAGGTGACAACAAAAATTCTGCTTACTTACTTGTTGTAATTGTGATCAGTATTTACAAGTATAAGTGATATTATAGTGTATTGATGGAAATCGCTGTATTACTAGTGAAATGTGTTAATGAAATATTTAGTGTATTTGTGCTATATGAAAACATGCTTTCTACGTTTCAGTGATTTTGTATGGAAAATTATAAATATAAACATTAAAATGTTTTCTCGACAAATTTGGTAGCTGTAAGTTAATATAAACATAATTAAATCAACTAGTTTACTTTTTAAAAGCGAAAAGCAAGGGTACAATGATGACGATCGTGATAAAGCTGGATTCGTCAAATATGAAATTTGCATTGTCAAAGAAATATAAAACTTGAAACTACAATTCGTGTTAAGACACTGAAGTCAGATATAAATAGTATATAAATGATATAACAAAACCAAGCGTGGGAGTTTGAAACGTAGATATGTACACCTATATTTTGGAGGATGCTAATCGCTTGGTACTCATTGCTAACTTCAAGCCTTACTATTTATTGTCAAACTGGAGGATACTAGTCGCTTGGTACTCATTGCTAACTTCAAGCCTCATTATTTATTGTCAAACTGGAGGATGCTAGTCGCTTGGTACTCATGGCTAACTTCAAGCCTTATTATTTATTGTCAAACTGGAGGATGCTAGTCGCTTGGTACTCATTGCTAACTTCAAGCCTTATTATTTATTGTCAAACTTGACTGGAAGGTTCCATGTACTTATATTTGGAAATGTATGAGTACTTCTTTATCCTGTAAAAGAAATGCAATATTCTGAACTTTTCCTCTTTGTGCAAGATGTTTAACTTTACTATAGGCTATCTGTGCTGTGTTTATGCTTGTTCAGGCCTATAAGTAAATAGTTGGCCCACACTTCAAATTCATAATTAGAACACAAAATATAAGTAATTTCTCTTCACGGAAACAAAAAATTTTACCTCAAAACTTATTCGACCCATTGTGAGTGAAGCAATAGTAACCCTGCCTTTGCATGGATTTCAAGAACAAATTATCAAACATAATTTATTTGTTTGTCTTTATTCGTGTTTCTCTCGATTTCTTTACATATAAATGTATATGTGTGTGTGTGTGTTTATATTCTAGAAGAGAAAAAAAATATTTCTACAATGTTTGTAATAGAAAAGGAAAACAGCACATTTGTTTTAGGCTTGATAATACAAGCACTTGTGGTTCTTGTACCGCATGATGACGAATCAAAATATATTGGTACCCAAAAGGAAGAAGAAGAATACTCACACGAGGTAAGGACGTGCTAATTTAGAAAAAAAAAACCCTTAAATCTTTGCAACCTTGTGTGGCTTCAATTGTTTTATCCTGTTGAATTTAACGTTCAAGGCCACTGAAGCTGTCAATTAAGCTTCTGCTGTACTGTGCTTTAAAAACAGGGTAAAAAGTGTAAGTTTTACATAATCATGTAATACACTGAATATATATATATATATAGATGTCTATAGGAAAGTTGTGTGATAAATAGTTCTGGTAATAACTTCTAACAAATGTTAAACTAAGAAATAATAAGGCTATTTACCTTCATGAGGTAATAAGAAACGAAGACTTATTCGATCAGTAGAAAAAGGAAACAAGTACTAAATTAAAGAAAACTAAGTAAACGTTTCTTATGGCAGATTTTTGTTCTTGTTTGCAATTCTTAAATCTAGAGATTTACTGACGAGACTTAACATATTTTGAAAACCTAGACATTTGTAGTCTCAACCTGAAGATTTTTTTGAGTACTTAATTTACAGCTTTAGTTTAGAGAGTTGTCAACAGGAAATGGATGTTTAACATCATTATAACTTCCATTTCCTCACAAATACTACCGCGTGATTTCAGTCACGAAACAAGTTGCAGAAAAAACAAAAACACTTCCGTATAATTTGGTCACCTGGTTTATTAGCACTAAAAAAGTAGTTTTAAGAATAAGGCATAATAGCCGTATCAGTGGTGTTAATGGCAAAACTATTTTTATTGCTAGTTCCACAAGGATATCATGAAATGGGAAGTAGCGGTAAAGTTCTCCGAACATACAATATAAGAATTCAGGGAACTTAGCCTGTGGAAACACATTTTTATTATTGCAAGGACATTACACTGAGCGTATGAATGAAATAGTCTGTTACTCTTGGTTGGACTAGCGTAAGAAAGTAAGTATTGTAGCTCTTTTATTAACCCCCGATATATTCTGTTTAAATTCTCTGATAGAAGAAAAGCTACTATTGTAGGGGATCTCCAGCTACGGGTGTCCTTGTTCTGCACGACACCTGGCACGGAACGTAGCTGAATTTCAGGTTTAGTCGTGGCGCCCCTGCTGAGTCCAGAAACCGATTGGAGGTACCCGTCAATGTTGGAGCTGGTTTATCCATGAGTAAGTGCAGTTACATTATCGAACCCAGTAAGAAATACCATACACATACATACAAAATCATGGTACTAAATGTTTATTTTTTTTTTTTTACATAACACTCAAGAACCGTATGGAGCTTGAAGAAAAAGGCACGTTTATTGAAAGGCGGCAGCGTGTTAACCGATGACACGGCTTATTACTGTGGGTAGAAAGATGACATGTACCTCGTTATTTTCCCCAAAAGTACGCTAATGACCACATACGCTACGCCGTTAGACTATCAATGCTCAACTTCCATATAAGGTAACTGGAGACATTGTTATTTTTTTTCTAGATCAGATCTTTGGGTACAAACTAGAAACGGGCACAATAATTAGATGAAAACTTCGCTAGGCTCTTTATTAATGGGAACACATTCATACATGTTCATATATATATATATAGTTATTTTTTTATAAAAGTAAACTGCAATAAGTCTTCTAATCTCTCCATAGTCCACCATTTCTAATACTTCTATGTAACGTTATCAAGGAGAGGTGGGTTTGTTTTGTTTTAGTACAAAGCTACAAAATGAGCTATTTTCGCCGTGGGAATAGAACCAGAAATTCGTCTCAAACTTATAATTTGCCGATGAAGAAAGTTGAGTAGGGATTTCAGTTTGTTATTGTAAGATAATAAAAATTGTGATACTGTCATTTTGCTTTAAAAGTAATCAATACAAGCATGAAGTTTTAAGTTGCTCAACCGTAATAAATACATATCTATTTTCATGAAAATCAATGCTACATATCCCAAGAAGCTAGCTCGTTATGTATATTTCCTATGGAAAACTGTTTATTGTTTGTTTTAGAGCAAAACCACTTTGGACTATATGTTGTGTTTACTGCGTGGAATCGAACCATGGATTTTAACGTTGTAAGTCCGTAAAGTTACCGCTGACCCAACAAGGAATGTTGTGAAATAGATTTGTTTGCAATTATAATTGTTACTTGACAACAACAACAAAAAAAAGCTTGCTTACCAGAGGTTCTTCAAGATAAAAGTTATTTGATATACAGAGTAAAACTTTTAATAAAATAACTCATTTATACAATTTAATTCACATTTTTACACAGCGGTACGTTTGCTGGCTTGCAACGCTAAAACCTACACTTCCCTGGGGTGGATAGAATGCAGATAACCTACTGTGTAATTTTACAACAAGAAAACAACAACACTATCTTGAGAAAAACGTATGCTTGCTTACTATTATCAATATGTACACACGACACGAAGCATTATCACTCATTTTATTATTTTTTTACTTGTCATTGGCTAGCAGTTAGCGTGTGGAAGTTAAAACCGATGGTACACGGGTTCGCATTCCGTTGTCGTAAAATGTTATAAATAATTCACAATAACAATGGAAAATCAGACCACTCAAACATATATGTTTAGGTGATTAAAACAGGCAATATTAAATAATAGTCAACTACTACAAAACATTGACGGTATTTTAATGGCCTGACATAACCACGTGGTTAGGGCGCTTAACTCGCAATCTGATGGGACCCGGGTTCTAATCCCCGTCCCACCAAACATGCCGTCCTTTCAGCCGTGGGGGCGGTACAGTGTGGCGGTCAATCCCACTATTCGTTGGTAAAAGAATAGCCCAAGAGTTGGCAGTGGGTGGTGATAACTAGTTGCCTTCCCTCTAGTCTTTCACTGCTAAATTAG